TTAGTTTTGTTTTCCGTATTCCCTTGAATTGCTCTGGGAGATGGGCAGCTGCTGAGGCACTGATGAGCAAAAAGTAACGTGATTCTGAGTAACGGCTTAGATGTGCTCTGCCTGTGGTGTTGCTCTCTGTCCTGCCACCTTTTGCTGAATTTGCATGGTAGTTGTACTTGGTTACACGACACTCAACTTACCTGGTAGTAGAGGCTCTTTGTTGGTTGTAATCTGAGCAGAAAGTAGTGATGAGATGTGGAAAAATGGGTCTGTTGCCATGAAGCGATCGTGATGGCTCCTTTCCTTAAGAGTCAGCAGGTTAGTATTCTGAAGCTTCACGCAGTCATTGGCTTTAGCAGTTTGAAAGCAAGTTGTATGCTTCCAAAGATGGTCAAACTACTGTTTTGAATCACAGGTTATTTCTCAGGGCGAAAAAATAGGCTTACCATTCATTGTTTTCGTGATAGAATTAAAGATAGTAACGGCTTAAATGGTTAGTACATTTTGTTGTGGATAGCTTTTGTATTGACTTATTTGGTGATATCTTTCTACTCACTGTAGAAAAGGATTACTTAGATACTGACTGTAAAAGCAGAGTACTTAAATTGTTAGAAGCGTATAGTTTCCCGAGTGGGGTGACCGCAGGTAGCTATGTGGCTTTCACCGTGGAGTGAAAACTCTCTGTTACTAGAGTACTGTTGGACTGCTTGTTGTAACTGAGACTTAAAGAGTTGCCTCTGCATAGTCTCTGGAGGTTGCATGTCTGAGCAAGAGATAGGAACGGAGTTAAAGCAACGAGGCAAAGGCTGTGTACAGCGTGTGTGAGCTCTCTGCACAGATCCCAGGGTGCTGGGCTTATTGTTTATATATCAGATCAGAGTATGTATTCAACAGATTGCATTTGTGTGTATGTGAGCACAAACAGGGTGATGTGTAGTGAAATTAATTTTGCATGTTGTCAGGCCCTAATAGTTTCTGCACTGGGTAATAGCTTGCATTTACATGATAAGGCCATATGCAAACTAGACTGCCGTGTTACCTTAGGGTACTATGGCAATATCTAGCTCTTCTTTGTTCTGTCTCTTGTTTTGGAGTCCCATCACTGGTCATTTGATAGTTTGAGCAGTAGTCTCATAGATAAAGTGACTAAGTTCAGGCAATAGCTTTTCTTCTAATGCAGTAGACACATGTATGCAGAAGCTTAAGTAATGTGTTGCTTCTGTGTACTGAAATTATACCTATATGGTGAGGGTGTATTGAGAGGCAGAAGCAGAATCACAGAACCATCCACTGGGGGAGATGCTGGCCTCTTCATCTGTGAGACTGAGTGGCCCTTGTCCTCAGCTCATCCGGATTCACTTGAGGAAGGTGATGGCAATGAAAGAAATTGAATTGCCTAGGAAACAGCAAGAATGCTTGAAGTAAAAGACTTACACTGGGCATTTGGTCTTAGAGATGAAGTGACAGAAGTATTTTGAAGTATGATGTCTGGGAAGCCAAACTCTCCACCACCTGATGTTGTCTTTGCCTCTTGGTTCTCCCCTTACACAGTATATGTATTCTACACAGTTTTGCCCTATTTATGCTATGTGCATGTGTTAAATCCCTACACGCATCCCTGTCCATGATATAGTTCTTATGGGGGGAAAAATACTTGTCATCTATCATATCATTCTGCGTTACAGGAGCATTTCCTAGGCACATAGCGGGGTATGACTGCGTGGCACACAGATATATGCAAGTAGGAAGAAGGCTTAAAAGGAATACACAAACAGTGAGTTAATGAAACTACATTCTTTAAGGGAATATAACCCCAGCTTTTCCATAGTGAGGTTGGTATTCCTTCCTTATCCTCACCAAGATGTGTAATTCTTGGACTTTTTAGTTTGAGTAGTCACCATTCTAATTTTCTGCAGTAGTCTGCTCCCCTACTCCTAGCCTTTAAATATTTTTCTGTAATATTTAAATGCAGCCTCTTTTCCCTGAAACACATCCTCTATGTTTGGTACTTGCATTTAATGTCCATTCATTCTACAGAGACTTCTGTATGTACTGGCCTTGTAGTCACCTCTGTCAGTTACTTCCATAGATATTTCATTTATTTGCTGTGTGTATGGCTACGTGAATATGTACAGATGCTTCTGTGTCATCTATTTCTGGGGCATAGGTGGTAGTTCTGTGTCTCTGTGGAGCTTGGGGTAGCACAGGTAAGGCGTGGGTACTGGGAGGTTGTATTTGTGTGTATTCACAGAGGTTTAAGAAGAGAGACTGGCAGTGGTCATTCATTCATCCATCAGAATGAAGATAGGGTAAACGCATGTTTGTATTGGGATAGTTTTGGGGACTCATGGCTTCAACTCTTCTGGGGTTTTGCTGTTCTCTAGCTCCAGGAGTCTCCTACCTGTGACCATCTATCTTATCTCCTTTTCTGGTCCCTGACAGGATTTTCTGCTTGGTCTGCTGCCTTTCTTCCCTACTACCCTGAACCTGGTGGGGTGGGAATTGTGAGGAAGTGCCATGTGCTTGGATCCTCCGTAAGCTCCACTCTGGGAGGAGCACTGCCCGGGGTCTCTGGTGTGCAGGCTGTGGGTGCGTTGGGTCTTCACGTGCTTTTGTCATGTAGCCTGCAATAGGGCTGTAGGCTGCAATGGATCTACACTGCACTCACTTATAGAGTATATTGTGTATAATTTCCAGTGTGAGAACGACTGCACTGGATAAACAAGACAAAATTAAATGATAATGTACATAAAACCAGGATAGGTTGTTACTGGCTTTTTTTTTTTCCCCTGTTATTGTCATTTTTTGACGTGGTGGCATATGTGTGGCAGCATAGATGGAAAATGTGAATGTTAACTTCAACGTGTCCAACTCTTGGGACCATTTTCTGTGTTGCATATTCTTAGGTGAGCTGTTACCTGTTTGTCCAATGCCTTTCTTGCCTAACTAACATTGTTGATGAACATTATTTTCTCCATCGAGTTGTGGTCATGAAAAGCATTAACAGCAAACTCATGTGCTGGGGAGTTGTTTGTGTAAATGCTCTCTAGTTTGTTTTATGTAAAATTAGTCAAGTTAGATCCAAAGTATTTGAAATGACCTGGCTGCTGTCACCTAGAGCAGATAAGAGAGCTCACAAGTACAGATTCCCAGCAGGTTAGAGGAGGTAACAACTTCTGACAGGGAAGCAAAGTAGGTAGAACCTGGTGTTGGTTTTCACTGGTACCTGTAAGTATGGAATAGATCTATCAGAACATCTACCTCTAACACCGGTCCTTCTTGCTACTGCCAGTCAGACTTATTTTAAAAATAAACCAGTGTCTCTGGAGTTTAAGAGTATTACAATAGATCATTATTGTGCTCCTTGAAGTTTGTAGGGCAGGGAAGTACTGTACAAAGTTTTGTGACATGGCCTTTCTTAACATTCCTGAACCTCACTCTTTTAATACTGTTCTCATTTCCCACCCCTTCTTCAGCTTTAAGATTTCATGGTAACATTTGGCAAAATTTTAGTTGCTCTGCTAGGACACAGTGGAAGTTTGAAGTAGTGTTGTCATCCAGGTGCTTTAAATAGTATAACCCCTTAGTTTTCTGTAATAGGCAGAGCCTGTAGAAGGCTTGGTGCTTGAAGTAGGTATAGGGGTGTTCTGATAGCTCAGTAGCTTGTCATTTGAGACTTTCTCTGGAATTGTTACCACGAGTTCTCAGGAACATCTGAGGAGTGTTTTGGCATTTTGCTTGGTCACTCTGTTGGGAGATAAATGATACCTATTAGAAATGCATGAGACATTTGGAAATCTCTGTTTATGGCTGCTAGTAAGTGTGTGTTCAAAGCTGTGTAGTCTACTTTCCTCTTCATCTCCTCGAGCTTTATAGATACAGTAGTCTTTTTTTTTTTTCCCCCGCTCACAGTCTCTTGAGTTCTGTGGAGTTTTTTTCTGTCCTGCTGCTATTGGTTGTTGTGAACTTTGCCAGTGGAAGCTGTCCTCATCCTGAGATGATTTTCTATCCACTAGAACGGACTTCCAAGTATTACTTTTTTCTTAAGATCTCTAATTGACATCTCCACATTTTTGTAAATCATTGAGCCAACTCATGGACTCAAACACACGCTCTTGGGGATTTTGCCTGCATGTGTAATGAACAGCTCTTGTGTATGCTGTAGAGGCAGACATGTACAAAGAAATAAATTAGTAGGTGTTTGGACAAGGAACTATGTTTTTTAGTGTTTTGTACCTTTTGTTGGCAAATATGGTGGGCTCTTCTTGTCCTAAGATTTCCGCAGTTCTGGGAACCCCAATCTGGAGGCTACAGAAGTAAGAAGAAGACATCAATAAATGGATCCATTCAGTGGAGGGCCATTGAAATCATGGGGGCTGGAGCACTTGCCTTGTGAGGAGACTGGAGGAGCTGCATTTGTCAGGGTGTAACACAGGGGGCTTCAGGGCTGGGACAGGCACCTTGTAGAACCCCCCAGTGCCTGTGGGGAGGTCATTGAGAAGATGATACAGGCTAGAAGAATGAGAGGCCACAGGTGGAAGTTGAAGAGAGGCTCAGCCTGGGATACTTTTTTTCCCCCGTGAGGACAGTTGGGCAGAAGCACAGGTTGCACAGAGAGGCTGTCCAGTGTCTATCCTTGAACAACTTCAAGATTGGGCTGGATAAAGCCCTGAGCCGCCCCATCTACCCTCAGAGCCAAGCTGCTGTGAGCAGGAGGTTGGAGCAGAGGCTTCCTCAGGTCCTGTTTGGCCTGAATTGTTCTGGAATTTCATGATGATGTGGGCTTTAAATTGTGCTGTTAGCCTGCATGGTTTGATTACTTAATAAACAGTTTATGGTGGAAGAGCAGTTTGGCTTAGGTCAAACTAGTATAGATTTCCTGACCAACTAACTTGGATCAGGTCATACTAAACTACTATATATTTTTGTTAACAGCAACTTAAAGAGTGCTGTTTAATTTCTCTGTTATGTTTAGGTTGTAAACAATGAGTAAACTTATTCTGTTTCAGATAAATGCAAGTGAAATTCAAAGATTTTCGGATTTTCCATTGTCAAAGAAAACTCTAAAAGGTGAGTACAAAAGTTTTCTTTGTAAAGTAATTTAAGTAAAAAAGAATAGGTTGTTTGTCTGCATCTGAACTTTTTTGCTATAAGTTTTAGGGAAGTAATGCCATGTACAGTGTTTTCTAAATGGAGGAATATATCAAAAATAATGATTTTCCTCCCCCCCCCCCATGCTCTCTCTTCTCTTCCCACATGGCAAATACTAGGATTGCAGGAAGCTCAGTATCGCGTGGTAACAGAGATACAGAGGCAAACCGTAGGTTTGGCTTTACAAGGTAAAGATGTACTTGGAGCTGCGAAGACTGGATCAGGCAAAACCTTGGCTTTTATTGTACCAGTAAGTACTTTACATCTTTCGACTTGTATTTAAAGCAAATTATCTGGGAGGTATCAGATGTCAAACAGCTTAGGTTAATAATCTTGATACAAAAGTTACAACTCAACTGATCTTGATGTTCCAAGAAAGTCAAGATGTTAATTTCATATTGCTGAAAGAACTATAGTTCTGAAAGAACTATATTTTTGGCCCAAGGACGATTTTTACACTTAGAAATTCCATATTGATCCTTACGTTGTTAGACTCCATGTGGTTTAAGAAGTGCTTTGTTTTTCTCTTGGGATTCTGTTTTCCTCATGCAACTCTATTTGTTTTAAAATTTGAAGTAGTGTGTGAAATAGAATGGTGAATTTTGTTTAGTTCCTTTGATGAGTGATTTTCACCCTTTTAAAATTTTAGGATTTGAACCTTATATAGCAAACCGAAGCTTAATGAATGTGGACTTCCATCTCCTTGTCTTTTGTGAACTCCTTAGAAATGACTTCTAGGTGCAAGTGGGAAAACAGGATGAAAATTTATGTCATAGATAATTTGTATTTTACTGTGCTCAAAACATCATGCTCTGCATTTCATTTCTTCAAGTTGAAAGTATAATTGCTTTGAGCAAATGTCTCATGCTTAAGTGGGTACAAACCCCATCATGTAATGGAAAAATAAATGTGTTGATTATAGAGGTTTTTTTTGGTTTAAATGTTGCTTACATTTTTGTGAGCATAAGTTTCTTTGGAGCATATTCTGTCAGTAGCTGTAAGAGCAGTGGTAGGTGTTCTGAACACCCTCTCTAGTTGAGACAATTTATACTTTATGCTGTATTTTTAATTTATTTTTTTGATCAGTAAAGAATAAAAAAAATTTAGGTGGCTTCAAAAGAATTGTGTGAATTTGAGAAATGGAAGTGAGATTCCTCAGTTAATCTAGGAGTCGGAGTCCTTTGTTTTGAAATAAGGTAAACTGTGTAAAAGGGTTCTAGGGGAGAAAAGTGATAGAGAGAGGATCTAGAGAGATGAGGAGTGGGAAAAAAATTGTACAAGGATGCTGAGCAGCCTTTTATATTTCAGAATGCTGCTGGTATTTGTGCCTGTGAAATCTTTGTGTCGGGATTAGCTGACTAAGACTGTGTTTCTTGGTGTGAATTTGTAAGAGGAGGAATAATCCTGGTCTGAGGTGGATGGCAGCTTTAGTTGGAATGCTCTGTATGTAGCATGTATGTATGTGCAGATAGTGGTTTATTAGCAAAATCAAATTGCAATGATTTCCTTTGTTCTAGTTGCTCATTCTGTTTCTGGTTCCCACAAAACTTTTTGAGTAGGGAAGTTTTTTCTTGTTTTTCTGCATCTGGTTTCTATTCTCATAGGAATAATTAAGGCTTAATTACCAGATTTTGGCAGATAGGATTAATTGTGAAGTACCACTCATTACTGTCTGTCATAGATTAGTACTGGAGAACTTTGCTAGAGCAAGTATCGTTGCCATCAGTTAGAACTGATACGTGGTTATACTATGTGAAGTGTATACTCATGTTTCTTCAAGTCATTATTTTAATTAGTGTGGCTTTATCTTTTTTTTATGACACTTCATTACAAATTTGTTGTCAGATATTTTCCTTCTGAGAGTTTTGTAATGAGAATACGATAATTTTTCTTCAGGCTCTGGAACTTCTGTATCGCCTTCAGTGGACTTCAGCTGATGGGCTGGGGGTTTTGATAATATCGCCTACCCGGGAACTGGCATTTCAGACCTTCAAGGTTCTGCGTAAAGTGGGAAGGAATCATGATTTCTCAGCTGGCCTTATCATTGGAGGAAAGGTGTGTTCTTAGAGTTTGCTGTATGAAGGCATGAGTTCTGTGTTAAGTCATGGAAGAGAGTAGTTAATGGGAACCTGTCAATGACCCAGTCGTTTTCCCGTCTGTGTACTCTGTGTCTTTTGAAGCTTTTGTACATTTACAGTCTTTCTGTGGATCTTCCTGCCAAGCCTTCCAGAACTGTCTTGTTAATTTGGATTATTCTGAAACACTTTTTACTCAAGCCACAAGTGTGAGCACATTAAACTGTGATATCTCTGTGGAAAGGGGAGAGGCTGATTGTTAACTATTCTTTCTAAATACTATCAATAGGTTAGGTTGGTCTGAACATCTCTGATACTGGGCTTCTAGTGTGAATCACTAGAGCTAAGCTGATTTAACTCCTTTTCAGGATCTGAAAGAAGAGACTGAAAGAATTCACCAAATAAATGTGCTAGTTTGCACTCCGGGACGACTTCTACAGCACATGGATGAAACTTCCTATTTCTATGCCTCTGATCTGCAAATGTTGAGTAAGTTTGGTGTGGGGGTTTTTTTTTTTTTTTTAAGTACTTGAAAGTACTTAATATTAGGAACTTAAGTACTTAATATTAGGAACTTAAGTACTTAATATTAGGTAACAGTTTGTAATTGTGTGGAGCACTTCCTTGGATAAAAAGTTTATTCTAGTCACAGTATATGGATGAAATGTCATTGAAGTTCACATGTACAGTTTTAATACAGAAAACAAGAAAACCCCTGTTCTGTGTGTTGTACTTTCTGTCAAAGTGATTGCTGAGCTTGCCTGCCTTAGGATGATAATAACAAGTAGGTGAATTAGTAAAGAACCTAAAGATCAAATGTAGTGTCTCATACAGTCATTTAGATCTGTCTTGGCTGACACTGGCCTCCTTTCTGACTATGGCACTTGTGTTTTTTCCTGACATGATAATTAACTCTAGAATGTCCATTACTGCGTGTGTATTTTGGACCAGTTCTAGAAAATGCTTTTGTTTGAATTTTAAGACAGATTGATGTTCCTTTCATTGTTTCGTTACCATTATTAGCATTGTTTCTTTTCATCTTTCCAACCTGAATAAAAATTTCAGTATTATGAAAAGGTTTGTCTGCCTCTAAGAGCAGTGCATAATCTTTAGCGTAGCTTGAGGAGCTTAGAAGTAATTAGGAAGCTAATGAAGCTGATAAAGTGTGCAGTTATGCTTACTACACTGAGTACAATTTATGGCAGTCAGAGAAGAATTGCATTAAATGTAAGCCCTTTTCTTAAAGCTTTGTCCCTGTGCTATTCTGGTTATTCCCTATGTTTCAGTGCTGAATTCAGCTTAGGTGCAGGATCTGTCATGGATAGTACAAACCCATTTTATATTCTGTGCTTTTGTTCTAGGAATAGGACTGGGATGTTTTAATATGCAAATTGCTGACCTGTTTACTTGAAATGCTGATCTTTTATGCTTTACCATGTGAAACTGAGGGCTGTAATGCATAGACTGTGGGATATGCTGTGACTTTCACTGTTCTTTAAAAACATATTTTATGGAGTACGTTAATATCTAAAGAGAATCCTGTCATATACAGTAATTAAGTTAATCTCTGCGGTTTAAATAGGCATGAATTTTTGTACCGTATGCATTTAGTGTACGATTATTATGTGTTTTTTAAATAGAGCTTAAACCAGGGTTTTCTCAAATCTGTCTCTCAATTCAGTTCTTGATGAAGCGGATAGAATTTTAGACATGGGGTTTGCTGATACAATGAATGCAATCATTGAAAATCTGCCTAAGAAACGCCAGACCTTGCTTTTTTCTGCAACGCAAACAAAATCCGTGAAGGATCTTGCACGACTGAGTCTGAAAGATCCAGAATATGTTTGGGTTCATGAGAAAGCCAAATTCAGGTATGTTGAGAGAATGTTTTATTTTTTTTATGGAGGGGTTAAAGAGATGATAATCCTACTTAACTACTTGGCTGACTATCAGTTCCCTGAACCAGAAGTTACCTCGTGCATCCTCCTGCTTCCTTCGGTGTTTGATCCTGTTGTGTGCGTTCGTGAAAGCAAGGAAAATCAGGAGAAGGGGGCAGTGGTTCTGACCGATTCATTACAGGGAGGCTGAATCCTCACTTTCCTTGTAGCTTCTGAGGCACTTTCTAAGACTGGAAATTTTCTTCCTCAGGAGCAAGCCCCGGAATGGGTTGTAGCCAGACTGGAGAAGTGTCCTGGATGTAACAGCATTCACTTTTGAATTGCTACTTTATTTTTGTTGTTTTACTTCCTTGCCTTGTTTGTGTGCATACTTACTGTGCGTAACCAGCAGACGTGTTGCACAAATACCTTCTTCGTGTGCAGTTGATAAATCTGACTTTCCAAGGAAGTGTTACCCTATTGGGAAAGTGCAGAATGTCAGTTAGTGTATTTGGTATTAGGTGCCCAAAAGAAAGCATGTGGCATTAGTCCACATGTAGAAAGTCTTTGTGACGTGCTGGGTTTACTGTGTGCATTCAGGACTCCAGTCTTGTGCATGCAAAATAAACTTATCATGCCATACAGTTTGGATCAGAATAGGAGACCCTTGCTAGGAGTCAGGCATGTGGTCTACCAAACTCAAACACATTAATGCGTCACTAAATAAAAAAAATGTACACGTTGCTTTTTGGCACAAATTTTTCTTTTGAAATCTTAGTAAATAACTAATACTTTGCATTTCTGTGGGCTCGATCATCTAAGTGTCAAATTGCTTATGAATGTATATAATTCTTTTTCTGCTCTTCTATGAAATATGCATATATTTCCATGTGTAAGATGCAGGAGAAAGGTTAAGCACAGTGATACGAATGAGTTTTCCAAGAGCGAATGAGAAATCATCAGCAAAATGAGCAGCAGAAACAGACTGAGTCTTGAGTTGATTTTAGCTACTTAATTTGTTTATCTCTGTAAGTGGGGCAAATACCTTTTTAAAATCAGTGTTACTATCAAAGGCATCTTAAATAAGCATGATTGCTGGGGAAAATTGTGTGGTTAATACTCTCTTAGCAGAAGAGGATGCACAAGCGTAGTATGTAGTCTTTGTTTTAACTGACTATACATCTGTTTCACAGATCTTGCATTTTTTTGTGAATTCTCTTTTAAAGTACATTTAACTTTTTAAAATATTGTGGAGAGTGCAATCAGGTAATAAGCTGAATTTAATGAAAAGGGAAGGTATTCGTCTGTTTTAGAGTTTACTGCTTTGGTATATAATAGGTTATTGCCTTTTGACAACAGTTTCCTCTGAAAGGCTTACAAAGTGAAAGGTATTGTGGCATCATTCAAGTTGAATAGCAGAATAAAAACCAGGGCAGTGTCTTGCAATTTCATCCTCTTAAGTGACCGCCTTTAATAAAGCAATTTTGAATACCCTTGGCCTGTTTAGGATGAAGCAGAGTGATTGTAAGAGATGAGAATTTAAATGTATTTCAAGGACAAGTATGCCAGAGATATTATTTTTTTTAATTTTATTTTGTAAAGAATGGAAAGGTGAGTTAAGGTGACAGTTCAGAGCTTTACAGAGTTTACAGCTTTACAGAGTCACTTTGCATGTCAGAGTGTAATCAGTGAGTGAGTACATCAGTGCTTTTATTGTGCATTATTAGACTGTGCTTTGACATTGCCTTAAGCACAAATGATGCTTTAATAGGATTAATAGACAAAATTGCATTTTTAAGTCAAGGCAATTTGAATGTCGCTGATTAGACATGGAAAGAGTTTGACTTGCTAGTAGTAAATGAATTTAGAAGTAATGTCAAAAGTCATTCACCTCTTCCCACTAGCTTTTAGTAAGGAAACTGATTTGTATTTGAAGAGTAGCTTTCTAATGGAGTTGCTAAGACTTGCCCCGCAAAGTGGGAGAACTTTCCTGCCTGACTGTTTTTTTTTTTTTTTCTTTTTAATTTCCTCTTCTCTTTCCTCCTTTTTCTGGGCATTTGTCAGACCCTCTTGACTTAAAAGAGGTAGTGGGCAGCTTGGTAGACATTGTATGCCTGTATATTCTCTCTCTTCCCTTCTTTATCAATTTGATGTTATGAGAACTAATGGTATCTAAGTGTACTTTTTGATGTGTTTTTTTTTTTTTTTTTCCGCAGTACTCCAGCCACTTTAGATCAGAACTATGTTGTTTGTGAGCTTCAGCAAAAAGTAAACATGTTATACTCTTTCCTGAGAAGTCACTTGAAAAAGAAGACCATTGTGTTTTTTGCAAGCTGTAAAGAGGTATGGCTGTTCTCCCTCTCTCCCTGTAGCATTTTAAAACTGTTAAAATGGAGATACTCATGTAGACGTCAAGGCACCACAGGTGAGATTCTGGACTAGTTCACAACAGGAAATCAGAGGAGGAACGAAACATGGCCTGGTCTTGTAGGCATGTAAAGCAAAGCCTGGCTGCTGGGAAGCTCAGCGACCTGAGCTCGAAGCAGAAGATCGGGCAGACCCTGGTGTACTCAACCATTTTTTGCTCTCTGCTGTTATGTCACTAAGGGCCAGTGATTTCAGTTTGTCTCACGACACGTTTCATGGTTGGGTTACAAAGTATTTTGATAGTTCTACTTATGTTCTATACAAGCTTTTAAATCTGCCTATATAGGAAGTTTAGAATTGTGAAATAATGCAGGGAAAGCGGTTTTGTTTTATGGTTATATAGGAAGTAGTCCTTCAAATATCGGCTGGGTCCATTCTTTTGAAGTTGTTTGTATGGCACAGGTATTTATTCCTGTAACTATTGCATGTATCAAACATTTTACAGTGCGCAGTGATCTAGTAGGTACTCGTTGCAGTTGTTCTACTTGTACAGGAGGTTATAATTTCCTGTTGTTCTGCAGTTGGCTGATGAGTACAGGGAGGTGGTAGGTTTAGCTGTACAGAAATTCCCTAAGCTGCAGCTGTTCCTGCAATGTATGGAGTTTCGGGAACCATTTTCTTCAAAAAAAAGTTCGATAGCTGCCCACTTCACAGTAATGCTGCATCACTGAAATTGTGAACTAAGACTGTGTAGATTGCTCTGAGTGGCAAGCATAAGACTCTGCACCCCTCCAGTTTTGTCTAAAAGCAGTGCTTCTGGTGGGGATTTGATACTTCAGTCCCCTGCCTACAGCATAACTAGTCATGTCCCAAGTAATTTTTTGCTCTCCATTACTCTGATTCCTTTTAGGAAATTTCACCAAAAGGCATGAGAATCTTCTGCCACAATTTGTTTCCTCTGGGCATGTGACAAAGTCTCCAAATAGCATTTCTTGTCTCTGTTGTGAAGAAAACTGAGTTTTATCTGATGTGCCAAGTCAGTTGATTTAAAGTGGATATGATCTTAATGAGTTTGACATTGCATGGTAATTTTTTTTTCCACTGATTTGTTGGGTAGGTCCAGTATCTCTTCAGAGTGTTCTGTAAGCTTCAGCCTGGCCTTCCTGTCCTGGCACTTCATGGCAAGCAGCATCAGATGAAGAGAATGGAAGTCTACACGTGTTTTGTTCGGAAAAAGGCAGCAGTGCTTTTTGCTACAGATATTGCAGCTCGCGGCCTGGGTACGTACCCACAGAAGCAATAGTTAATCATAAAGTGATGATCTAACCCCATTGAAGCTTTATGCTTTGAAAACCATCCTGATTTGTAAGAAATTAAGTTCTAGTTTGCTTAAGAGCTCACTGGGGTGTCTCAGAAGAGATACGCTTCTTAGAGTTCTGTTGTTTCTTTGTGTGAACACTAACCTACCAAATGGAAATGAAAACCTGTAGAAATTTTAATGTCTGAACCCTGAGTGGCGTTATAGAACTGTATTCTTAAGGAGGCAGAAAAGTAGATGAGGGAAAAAGCAGAGTATTTATGGGACCTGTTTTGACTCGTGAACTGTGATTTACTTCTTTATATTTTCCATGGATACTTTGGAGGAGTTTACTCGTTCTTCTTTTAGATAGCAAACTCTGTTGTCCAAAATGTAAGGTTTAGTCAGTACGCTGTAAAAGAAAAGGAAGGGAGGTGCTCTAAAACCTGAAGGCAGAAATGAAAACTGCTTGTCATACCTCCTATGCTGCTGAATTCTCACTAGCGATTTGATTTTAGAATGCAGGTGTGACTGTAGCTATAGACTTTGTCAGGAAGGAACGTGAACTTACTGCAACGCAAAGTGTGCTGCTGCTGAGTGAAGTGCAGCAGTTAGAAAGTGCTTATTGCTAATGTCATTCACATTCAGCGTTGAATTCTTTGTCAGGCTTTGTCACTCACTCCTACCTTTGAGAAGGGCTGTGATATTTCTGTAGGTGGAGAGCTGCAGAAGTTCTGTCTTGCCACAGCTGACTTCAAACCCTGGTGATGTAGGTGATATTGATACTGTAGGTGAAAAGAGGGTCAGATATTGTTATTATTAATTTGTAGTATTTTATCATCTGTGTGACACAAAGAATGTCTGTTCTTATCAGGTGTGAAATTATGTTCCATTCAGTGCACTGTCATAATTTAGGAAGTGAAGACACCGTTAATTTTGGCTTTCTTTGATGAAGAGAATGATTATTTATGATAAGCTAATACATGCAATTTTTATTTTTATTTCAGAAGTTGTACTCATTGTCTGTAAATTGGTCTAAATGATGGTTCTTAGAAGAATTAATGCTCCAAAATAGTATGTTGCTCTTGAATAGGAGGATTTGGAGTACAGTGAGTTTAAATTTTTGCATTTTTATTTTTTCTTTACACAGATTTTCCAGCAGTAAACTGGGTCATTCAGTTTGATTGTCCAGAAGATGCAAACACATACATCCACAGAGTAGGAAGAACAGCCAGGTTTGTATTCACTTTTCGTTAATATTATGATGTTTAAAACTAGACCACAATAGGGACAGATAATTGACTAAAGACTCACTTGGAAAAAATCAGGTATAAATTGGAGAGAAAGAAGACCTGTTATCACCCTTTTGATTACTTCAGAGTAATGGTTTGACTTAATTTCTTAGTAAGCTTCAGACACTCTTTACAGCAGACAGACAAAGTACCCTCAGTTGTTTAATCTGATAAGGGAAGATTAATAGTGAATAAGCAAAATTCTTCTTTTGTACTTTGCAGGATTACCTCTAAGGCTCAGTTGAGCATGTTTGTGGGTGGAAAATCTTGTTTTGCTGCCACCATTTATAGATAAATAAAGCTTTAGTCTGTGGATATAATTTGTTTGTATCATTGAATAGTCTTCAAAATGGAACTAATTCTTCCTTATTTGCTTCCTTCCTCCTCAGATTAAAATAATGTTAATTACAGGCTAAATTTTTAATTTTCTGTCTTTTGTAGAATTACATTATTAGGAGTAGCTAAGCCTCTATGACAGAATGGAGTTCTCCAGATATACTGTTGAAAACCTGGTCCTTGATGTCTAAAGTAGATTTTTGAAGGAGAAACTGGAGCTGTTACTGTATGTAATTCACTAAATCAAAAACTTGATGCAATTATCTGAAGGACAAAATGCAAGACCTGCCATTATATCTTTTGCATAATTTAAGTTACTTGTAGTAGGGTTTGCAATATAGGCAGTTGTCAACCTTAATGTCAAACCTAATGACAGAACAATTGCTCAGGGTAAGACCTGAGCACTCTGCACAACAGGAATCTGAAGTCTGTGTTCCTAGACCAGATAGCATTAAATTCTGGTGACTGTAATAGAAGTGTGTACTTCCAGCCCTCTTTCAGAATGTGGAAGTTCTAGCCTTGTTCTCATTGTAATTGGTAACTTTTTTGCCACATTTTGTCCTATGCGCTCCATTTTACCCCTTATAATAGAAGAGAATAGTAGTTCTTTCTCCTAAAAGTATTTTTAAATTTGTCTGTGAAAAAAGTATATATTATAATTAAATAAAACATGTATCTATTTAGCTAAATTCAAGTCTAGATGTAACGTCGTGCATACCAGATGTGAGAGAAACATATAGGTTTAGTTAGAATCTTGGGGTTTTCGTAGTTTTGTTGTTGTTGTTGTTGTTGTTGTTGTTAAAAAATACCTCCTTTCAGTCATATGTCGTTTCCACAGAAGGCTTGTAACTTTGTCTTTTAGGCATGCTGTCATTGTGGAAGCGAAAACAATGTATTTGGCACTGTTTAACTGACAGTTTCTAGGAGACTTGTTGAGCTCTTCCTGAGCCGTGTCACTGAATTAAAGCATCTCACTGGAATTAGAATCCTCGAGCCTTTTCCTGGCTCTCATTACGCACCAGGAAGAGCG